ATGAAAATAGCAGTTTAGTGGATCTGGTTCTTGGGTTGGGTAAATATTAAATTTGGGTCGGCTTTTAGACATTGTGACTTGTGCACTCTGCGCTTCAAGTTGAGGTAACTTTCTTACCCCAGCCAATGGAGAAAGTATTTTCTTATGGTTATGGATGGCTACAAGCGAAAGCTTCATGTGCAGTGAGTTTCATCAACTTCTCTTTCTTGGCCCACAAGTTTATACTCAACGCAATTGACCAAAGCAGCCTTCTGGCCCTAGTATTCAAAGCCCATATAGCCCAATAGCAGACTTCATGAGAGTACGCCTAAATCAACTCCAAGCTTGACTAGATTCTGCGTGCATTGTAACTTGTAAGTGGCCAATGCACACTGAATCCACACGATAAGATGAGCACGAGAGGATTTCTAAATCAACACATGCCCCCCAACAACTCCAAAATTCTGAGTACTTTCATCTTATATCCAAACAGACAAGCTTGAGGTTTTAAATTCCTAGAACACAGTCAGGGAGCAGTGGAGCTTAGTAGTTTAATCGACTTGCATTGGCTTCTACCTCAGCCAAGTCATAAAGAGCTGCTTGATTTGTACTTGTACTCATACACCGCCAAGAATTGGAAGACTAGCATTGTCCTTTCCCAACCTTAGTCCACTGCAACAAAAACTAATGCACCTTAATGTAAGTGTGGACCTGCATAAGTTAATCAATAGCCACGGGCACCCATCTACCTATTAAGCTTCAAACACAGCACACCATACTGCAGATTCTGGTCAATTGGTCTTTGATTTCACACTTGGAAGACAAAATATATTTGGTCCATTACGCCATAGAGGCATCTTTTCCCCTACATTTATTATAAAATGTTGCACACTATATGGTATGTACAAGATTGATCGTGCATGCGTGGATTGATTCTAGTCATTGATGCTGTATGAGTACCATAAACGTCAGCATGCACGACTCACCTTAACTGAGCTCCTACAAGAATAATAATTTGTTTTTGGTCCGAAGAAGATTGATGATTGATGGCTACGCAAGTAAACTAGTGAGCTAATAAGATAGAGTTTTGACTTCACCAAACTCTGCTGCATATAAGACACTCATAAAGTCTAATCTCCCTTCTCCATTGATCAAACAGAAAAAAGAACGCCCCAATTTGCCACTAAAATACGGACCAACCTGCATTGCCAAGCCAAAAGGCAAAGAGTCTTTATTTAAGAATCCCTCCAAAAAACAGACATGCCCATACCTCTTAAACCTACATAGCCTCTTTCTCCCATACCAATTATCTTCTCAGAAGAGTCAGAACCAGCAATGGCATATCTCCCAATTTTCTTCCATCTGTTTGTCCTACATTTGTTCATGATCACCTTGCTGCATTCACCATTTCCCACTTTTGCAGCTGCATTCACCTTTTTCAATGGAACTGAGACTGATAGGCTTGCCTTGCTCGCCATCAAAGCTCAAGTAATGAAGGACCCCCATGGCATTTTGAGCTCATAGAACGATTCACTCCATTGCTGCAACTGGACAGGTGTCACCTGTGGTCACCTTCATCAACGAGTGACCTCACTGAACTTGAACTCCTATCAGTTGGTAGGTTCACTCTCTCCTCACATAGGAAACCTCACCTTCCTTTCAGGCCTTAACCTTGAACTCAACCACTTCCACAATGTGATCCCACAAGAAATTGGCCATCTTTTCAGGCTCAAATACCTCAACTTGTCCAACAATTTGTTTTCCGGCGAAATCCCATCTAATCTCTCTGCTTGTTCTAGCCTCATCTGGCTTCGTTTGGGCTTCAACAAGTTGATTGGAAAAATCCCATTTCATCTGGGGTCATTGCAGAAGCTTGAGAGAGTTCAACTTCACTATAACAACCTCAGCGGACTACTTCCAAGCTCTCTAGGCAACCTTTCCTCTGTAAAATCTGTCTCTGGCAGTTAACAGTTTGGAAGGAAAAATACCAGACTCATTGGGCCGCTTGAAGAATTTAGAATTTCTTGGACTTGGCCTTAATCAACTTTCTGGTATGGTTCCTCCCTCAGTTTACAATCTTTCATCTCTTGCAAAGTTTAGTTTGCCATACAATCAACTAGAGGGAAGTTTGCCATCAGACTTGGGCTTCACTCTTCCTAATTTGCTAGTGTTGAATTTAGGCCACAATCTATTCACTGGACCCCTACCAACAACATTGTCCAATGCCTCAAACCTTCTTGAATTTGATACCAATGGAAGCAATTTTAAAAAATTACAGTTGATTTTGGAGGCTTAACTAGTCTCTGGTGGCTGGTTCTTGCTTCCAATTCCCTAGGCACAGCAGAAGCTGATGACTTGAATTTCTTTAACTCTTTAAGCAGATGCAGGAACCTGCAAATTCTTGATCTAAGTGATAACCAATTTGGAGGTGTCTTGCCTAATTCCATATCCAACTTCTCAAACCAACTTGTGTCATTGAGAGTGGGAAGAAATCAATTATCTGGAAGCATCCCTACTGGTATCGAGAATAACTTTGTTAACTTGACTGAATTAACAATGGAGAAAAATAACTTCAGTGGTAGTATTCCTGCTATTATTGGTAACCTTTGGATGCTAAGGAGATTAGATTTATCTGAAAATGAGTTTTCTGGCCTGATTCCATCATCACTAGCCAACATAACTCAACCATATGCTCTTTATCTTCAAAACAACCGCTTAACGGGGACTATTCCTTTGAGTTTTGGAAATCTTTCATGCTTGCAAGAGCTAGACCTTTCTCAGAATCATCTCAATGGAACCATACCCAAACAACTTATGAGTCAGTCTTCCCTAACCATTTCCCTTAACCTTGCTCATAATCAATTGACTGGTTCCCTGCCGTCAGAAGTTGGAGCCTTGAAAAATCTAGGAAACTTGGATCTTTCTAAGAATAAGTTGTCAGGAGAACTTCCTAGTAGCCTTGGTAGCTGTGTGTCCTTAGAACACCTTCACTTGGAGGGTAACTTCTTTGAAGGAACCATTCCTCCATCTTTTAGTTCCTTGAGAGGACTTCAAGACTTGGATCTTTCACACAACTACTTATCTGGCCAAATTTCAGTTTTTTTTCAGCACTTTTCCCTTGTGAACTTAAATCTTTCTTTCAACCACTTTGAGGGTGGGGTGCCAACTGGAGGGGTTTTCAAAAATACATCTGCAATTTCAGTGGCAGGAAATCAAAAGCTTTGTGGAGGCGTTCCTGAATTATAGAATTCCCAGCTTGCATTGCCAGTAAGCCAAAGAAAAGAAAGATATCTCAAGGACTCAAATTAATGATCTTATTGTTACCAAAAATAAAATAAAAATAATGATCTTATTGCTTTCTGGACTTCTGGGACTAGTTTTGGTCATGTCTCTTCTAGTTATCTGGCGGTTAAGGAAGATGAAGGCGAAACCTTCTACAGATGCTTCACCGACTAAGGAATTTCATTTGAAGGTATCTTATGAAACCCTCCTTCAAGCTACTGGTGGATTTTCCTTTGCCAACTTAATTGGTACTGGTAGCTTTGGTTCTGTCTACAAAGGAATTCTTGGTCCAAATGACACTGCTGTTGCAGTAAAGGTACTCTACCTACATCAAGAAGGAGCCCTAAAAAGCTTCGTAGCTGAATGTGAAGCCCCGAGAAACATTCGGCACCGGAATCTTGTTAAAATCTTGACTGCTTGCTCAAGTCTTGATTTTCAAGGTAATGACTTCAAAGCTCTTATCTATGAGCATATGCCCAATGGAAGTCTGGAGAGTTGGCTACATCCAATTTCAGAAGCAGGGGATGTAGATGGTGATTTGAGGATACTAAGTCTTCTCCAAAGATTAAACATTGCCATTGATGTGGCCTCTGCTCTAGATTATCTTCATCATCATTGCCAAGATCCAATTATTCATTGTGATCTGAAGCCTAGCAACATCCTACTTGACAATGATCTGATTGCTCATGTGGGTCATTTTGGATTAGCAAGGTTCCTTCCAGAAGCTACAACTAGATGCAATCTAAATCAAAGCAGCTCAGTAGGATTGAAAGGAACAGTTCGGTATGCTGCACCAGGTAGTTTATAACTCTTATCTGTTTCTGTTGTTTCAGTTCTATTTAACTGTTGTTGCAACTTGCACGCTTGCATTCTATAATAAATTTTGAAAAATATTAACTGGGAACTGTCATGAAAACCAAAACCAATTAATCAGAAGGTCTCATAGCTGGGTAAATTTTCTGAAAAATATTAACTGTGCAACTGAACTAAGCACACGAGAGGACCCAATGTAATAATCAAAGCTACAATGCTGTAGAGTACGGCATGGGAAGCACGATTACAATGTATGGGGATGTATACAGCTGTGGGATACTTTTGTTGGAGATGTTCACAGGAAAGAAGCCCACCGACGACATGTTTAAAAATGGAATGTAACTCCATAATTTTGTTAGCAATGCATTGCCTGAACAAATATCAGAAATTTTAGATCCATTGTTTGTTGAAGGAGGGAGAGGAGAAGATGAGGAATTAACTTGTGAAGAGAAATGTATTGTGGGGCAGGGAAAAGATGAACTGAATCAGGACTGCCTGGTCGCAATACTCAAAATTGGAGTTGCTTGTTCAGTGGAATCACCTAGAGGGAGAATGGATATTACCCATGTTGTCAAGGAATTGAAGCAAGTCAGAGACACTTATTGGATCTGCATTGAACTAAGGCCAATGCATGAACAAATTATTGAATTTCTCAATTCTTTGTAATGTGAATCAGAATGTCTTTTATTTTCCAAATGAAATGATACAGAGCATTTAGTTATAGTTGAGTAAGGCAATAAGAAGAGCATAGACAGAATGTAGAATTATTCCCTTATTCTGCTATATAGAATACTGAATTCATGACTTACTTGATGTCACATACACACATGATACATAAAAACATCCTTTAATAATCTCTTGCATATAGATGAGGCTATATGTTGAGATATGAGTATGACAACAAACTTGAACTATCTAATGTATTGCTAGCTTCTTCTTAAACTGAGATATGAGTCTCTAATTGTCTTCATTTTGTTGACAACGACATCCATATGCATCCGCTCTCCTTGAGATATTGCAGAGCATGAGAGTCCTATTTGCATCACTGAAACCAAGCACTCCTCCAATCTTCTTGCTTGAACTGGGCCGCGATCTTGATATCTTGTAACTGGCCTTTCTTGTATGTCATCGGCCCCATATCTGTCATCATCAGCCTCTGCATCATCTCTTTCAAGGAGCAATGAAGGGTCAGCTACGTTAATGGCATGGTCAGGCAATCCCTTGGCAGTGAATTGCTGAATGCTTAGATTATCTCTAAACATGTCATCGGTAGGCCTTTTTCCTGTGAACATTTCTAGCAACAATATTCCGTAGCTATAAATATCTCCCAGTATGGAAACTTGGCTTCCCATGCCATACTCTGCCATTCAATACATGCATTAGGGTGTCAGAGTCAAATTACCTTTTGAATTTAGAAAGAAACAACGCGAATGATAGAAACTCATACCTGGAGGTATGTAGCCTATGGAACCCTTTAGTCCAGTTGATATGCTTTGACTTTCAGAAGGATTATTTGATGCTTCAAGAAGGAACCTTGCTAAACCAAAGTCACCAACATGGGCTACCATATCTTCATCAAGAAGGACATTGCTTGGCTTTAGATCACAATGAGCTATGGACGTTTCACATTGATGGTGGAGATAATCTAATGCAGAAGCAACATCAATTGCAATGGTGAGTCTTTGGATGAGGCTCAATCTCTTACATTGAGATTGCACATCATCTCTTGGATGCAGCCATGAGTCTAGACTTCCATTTGCCATGTACTGAAAAACTAGACTTTTGAAGTCATTACCCTGATTATCAATGCTTGAGCATGCAGTTATGATTTTGAGAAGATTACGGTGCCTTATACTTCTTAAAGCATTGCATTCATCAATGAAGCTCTTGAAAGATCCAGGTTGTTGAAGGTTGAATACCTTAATGGCAACTGTTGTTCCTTCACTAGGGACTACTCCTTTGTAAACTGAACCAAAGCTTCCCAAACCAATCAGATTGTCCACAGAGAACCCGTTAGTTGATTGAACGAGTTCTGAGTAAGAGACACCTAATTTCCAATCCTTATATGATTGTAAAATCCCAGGTCTACCTCTTGACTTTTTCACCATTGAACAAGCAGCAATGAAGAATGACAAAGAAATTATGAGTGCAAGTCCACAAGTTACTGGGATGATTACTTTTCGAGTAAGTAGTCCTCGAGATGAATGAGCTTTTTGGCGGGAGCATGCTGGTAGAAGTAATTCTGGGATGCCACCACATAGCTTATCATTTCCGAGGATCGAGACACCAGTGGCATTTGAAAAGATCCCTTCTTTAGGCAGTTCACCTTCAAAATCATTATGTGAAAGATTGAGATGCTTAAGAAATTTAAAGTTGCCGAGAAACCCAGGAATCCGCCCAGATAAGTTATTGTACGAGAAATCTATTTCTTCCAAGCCTCTTAAATTTTCCAGAGATTGAGGAATTGTCCCTTCAAATTCATTACCTTCCAAATGTAGGTTCTCCAATAGAATGCAACTGCCAATGGTTTTGGGTATTTCACCTGATAACTTGTTTCTTGATACATCTAGCTGTACGAGATTTATCAAAACACCCACTTCTGATGGTAGAGCACCAGTCAAAGAATTGTTAGACATTTTCAAATAGATTGCAACGAATGAAAGCCCAACAAGCTCTTTGGGTATGGTGCCCGTTAGACTGTTATTAGAAAGGTCAAGTATTTGCAGCCTTTTGCAGTTCCCAAGACTTGGCGGTATGCTTCCCTCAAATTCGTTGTCGTCCATGAAGAGCTTTGTAATTGAAGTCAAGTTACCTAGGAATGATGGGACTGGCCCAGAAAATTTGTTACCATTCAGAAACAGCTCTTGTAAGTTGTGAAGCTTGGCAATTCCATCAGGGACACTACCACTCAATTTGTTGAATCCTGCTCCTAGAAAGATCAAGTTTACAAGATTTCCAATCCCATTAGGGATGCTTCCATGTATCAAATTGTACCCCAGAACAATATATTGTAGTTGGGTAGAAAGATTGGATATGGATCCTGGCAATTCTCCTCCAAAATTATTACTTGCAAGATCCAACATCTCCAGACTGGTACAATTAGCCAAGAAGCTAATAAAGTTGAGGTCGTTAGCTTTCCCACTTCCCAGTCTGTTTTGTTCAAGGTTTAGCCAAAGTAAGCTTTGCAACCTTCCCAGAGCAGGGAGTGGCCCGTATAGACCATTTCCTGAAAAGTCAAGACCAAAAAGTCTTGAAGCATTTGACAACGATGCAGGAATTGTTCCAGTGAAGTTGTTGCCACCACAGTAAAATTGCTCTAGATTAGGAAGAGTAATGCCGAGATTTGGCGGTAGCTCTCCATGCAGCTGGTTGTTAGCAAAAGTAAAACCGCTTAGGGAAGACATATTATAAATTGAAGAAGGGACCATACCAGACAGATTATTTATCCCAAGTGAGAGTGTTGTCAAGCCTGTTAGACGCCTGAGCTCATTGGGTATGCTTCCTTGAAAATTGTTGTTAGAAAGATAAAGACTATTCAAAGATGAAAGGTTTCCTATCCATTCTGGGATGCTTCCAGTTAGGTTGTTAAGACTAAGCAATAGATGAGTTAAACTCAACAATGAACTGAGTTGGCTAGGAATGGATCCAATGAGCTGATTCGAACGAAGATTGAGGAAACGTAGTTGAGTACAGTGAGATATATTAGCTGGAATTTTCCCACCAAATGAATTGGCAGATAGGTTGAGATGTTGCAAGCTATGTAGCCGACCTGTTTCTTGAGGAATTTCCCCAGTGAAGCTGTTGGTATTCAGGTTGATTCCGGTAAGATGAGTAAGATTTCCTATAGACGGTGGTAAGGAGCCTACCAACTGTTGATCTTCAAGATTCAAAATCATGACTCTCTTGGTGGAAGGGTTGCATGTCACGCCCACCCAACTGCATAAATTGGTGGAATCATTCCATGAGCTCATGACATGGAGAGGATCTTTAGTTATTCTTTTCTTCAACTCTAGCAGTGCCAGACGATCCGATTCGTTATTTGCAGAAGTACTTTTGGGTAGTGCTGCAGATTCTAGATGTGTGCTCATGCATAAAAGAATGAACCCATGAAGGAATTTAAGCAAAATATGCCTACCATGAGTATGTGAATGCTCCATATCCTGTTCTCATGAGAGCAATACAGAGCAAATCAGAAAACCAAGTTTGATTTGATTTAAACGACTGTAGTAAATAAGAAATTATCTTACGAAAAGAAGCTTCGCTACTGTGTTAGAAAACTTTTAAAAGGATGAGTGAAAAAATTCAAGCAATTCTGAAGGTGCATACACGAGAAGTGTTGAAAAATAATGCCCATTTGTGTTCTACACAGTTCTAGAAGATTTAGTAATACAAGGATGGTCCTAGAGTTGTGGAGAACATTATCAAGGGCTATGTCGGATAGACCATGATAACTGAAGATGGAAGAACTCTCTAGAGCAAGAACACTCATGTTGCTAGACTATGGCGGTAGAGCATGATGGCTAAACAATAGCCACAAAAATAATATTATACAACAAAGAAGTTCCTAGTAAAAGCCACAACAAAAGGGACTAGAAAAAGAAGGCCGAGTCGGTGGACTTGGTGATGTCGGCAAAGAATGCCTATAAAGAGGCATGCAACGCAATATGGCAAGGTGGAGTGGAGTGAACCAATAAACTCCCAAACTAAATGGGGAGTAAACAAGCCAACTCCCAAACTAAGGGAGCTTAGAGCTATCTAAACAAAACTATGTTGAGGAGCCAATAAGCTCAAAAAGCTAAGAGAGAGAGGGCAATAAGCCTATATAAGCAAGAAAGGAGGCCAATAAGCCTAAACACTAATTGATATATTATTATGGTTCAATACGAATTAGTACTATAATTTAGTTGTATTGTATTATTTAAGTTTTTTTGTTATTAAATAAATTAATTTTCAAAAGGCTTACGCCTCAATGCTTCAAGACTTGTGCCTCGTAAAGCGCGACTAAAAATGCATCGCCTCTATGCCTCACCTTTGAAAACATTGATTTCAACTGCATCTTTTGAATGAATTTAAGTTGTTTCAGATTGTGACTCTTGGATATGTCATAATCAATTAAGAGTTGTCATGGCCTGTGTATATATTTGTGGCAGTTCCATGCATTGGAACAAAATCTTGGATGTAACTTTTCAAACGAAAAGTTGCTATGATATTCGTCATGACGAATTGCAGACCAAACTAAGCGGTTTCGAGTTCCACTGTCATTATGCATATTTGGATGCCTTCAAAGTACTGTTAAGAAACCATTTGATGTTTTCTATCATAAACGGGTCTTAAGGCTATGAAGATGTCAATCGGTTACACAAAACCAGATTTTGGGTTGAGTCGATGTTTGTTAAAAAAATTTGATACTTGGATATCAGGTAATGTTTTCAGAGAACGTTTTCTTAGAATATTTTCAGAGAATGAAAACAAGAAAACGAATTTGCATTTTAAGGAAATGAAAATTCGCCCGATAGATTAATTAGAAAACATCTTTAGAAAACAAAAACAATGAAAACGTGTCTTGTGGTACAATTTGAAAAAATAATATGTGAGTTATTTTTATGAAAACGTTTCCCATGAGAATGAAAACAACTTTTTTCTGTTTTCTACAAGTACACATGAACTTGTTTTCATTTTATGAAAATATTCTCAGGGTTTTCTGTTTTTGGGCCACCAAACGTGTTTTTGCCTCATTTTTGTTCTTTGAAAATGAAAACAACCCCTTAAAACGTTACCAAACAGGCCCTAAGTTTTCTAAATTAATGGAAAGTGGACATAAAAATCTGGAAGTTTGGCTATGTTAGGCAAAACAAAATTTTGTAAAGGCAACACATTTTATGTCAAAACATATATATATTCTATGATTTTGTATAGAATATTACGTCCATGCAATGTGTTGGGGCTGTTGTTGATATACAGACCCTTTTGGTTGGATTCTTTTAAGTTAGAAGGTGCGATTATAGCATTTTCAAACCAACATCTTGCAGGAGGCATTTCCATGCTGCAGTCTAATTGAATTGATATGCGGGAAAGTGTATAGACCCATATGCTCTCTATTATGAGACATATCAATTGGTTTACAGTTCAGAAATTTGCAAAAATTTTGTTTTGTAAATTGTGTGGGACTTTGTTACTCTGTATGAGAAATGAGAAAGTATGTAGGACTATGTTAACAATCATAGAGTCATGCCAGCAACCATGTTGGTCATGGTTAGAAACCAGTCAAAGTATTTTGAGTGAGACACTTGGTATTAAAACTTTGAGGCTTCAAAGGGAGAAAGCTAATTAGTAGTTCTGTTACAAAGAGCCTAAAAAGTGAAGATATTTTAAGAACAAATATCTCTAGTGTACTACCTATAGAATGAGATGCATATGAACAAAGGGTACCAAAGCCTTACCCTATGTATAAAGGGATGTGCATTTTAGAAAGGAAAATTAATTTTATAATGATTTGCTTTAATCAATTAATGATGGTATGGTAACTAGAACATGTTAATTATGTTATAAACATGGTTCTATTACTAATGCAACATTAAATTGGTTAAAAGGAAATTATAAACTAATACTATAAAACTATTATCTCGTTCTTTAAGGAAAAGTAAAAGTTTTCTACTTCTTAGACATATGAAAAAATGATTAACATATTGCTTAATACCTTCCACAATTATGTGAAAATTGTGGGGTGACAGACATGAAGGAAAATTTGGAATTCTATTTCCTGACGGAAAAAATGAAAGTTTTCTAGATTGGTTCATAAGCACCACGTTTTTGTGGAGAGAGGCTTTGATGTTTACAAGAGTGTAAATTTCTCTTAAGGTATGAGAAGGTTAGAGACCTTCCTATAAGTACCTCAAATGTGGGGGTGCCTAAGTATTAGAAGGTTACTCAGTTGGCACAATTATTAATTCTTAACAAAATAAATTAAACGCTCAACGTAGTACAACTCTTGAATGGAATTTATTTCCATATATGAAATATGATGGCAATATATTACAGACATAGTCAATCTAGTGGATCCAATATTTAAAGGTATGACCAGAGAGTTAGTTGATCATCTAGGGGAATGGGAGTATAAGCCTAAATATTTAAAGTCTCCATAGTGGATACCCAACCTAGTTGATTGGAGATCCCAAGATCTAAGTTCAAAAGGGATAATAGCACTACAGAGATTACATCTCCTACCCATGTCCTATGATGAAACAATGCTGCTTGCATCGTGTTTTAGGGTAATCTTTGATTTTAATGATTCCTATAGCTTGGAAATCCGAGTGGGGTAGTGCATGATACTTTTAATAGGAAGTCACATAAGTGAGTGTGAAATGAGGCCGTTTCTATGAGAATTTTTTAAGGCATGAATTCTCTAAAGCTCTTATGAACACCAGGATTCGCTTAGGGCCAAAACGAGCACAATCGATCGAACCAGATATGTTTAGAAGGGTATTGTATTATAACCGGCTGAACAGTTCAAGACATCATGTTCACTAACTAGCCAAGTAAATCTGATAGTATTTCACTATAGAAGGTTCAAGGCCAAAATCTACCTATCCAGAAGCAGTGTTCTTCTAATAGGGACTCTCTCTAGTGTCTTCATTTTTTGTCTGCATGTTGTTAAGTCAAATTCCATTCATGTGGGGGATTGTTGGAAATTTAATATTAACTAAAATTAATTTTCCTATTTGAATGGAAATTAATAGGGTTCATTCAACCATGGTGTCCCTTGTCAATTTTTAGGAAGAGGTATCAAAGCACATGTTTATTCAATGAATGCATTAGTTGGTTTTTATATTGGGACATACACTTTTGGAAAGGGTTCTTTAGTATCTATAAATAGAGTGGTCTTCCTATAGTTAAAATAATAATAAGGGGAATTGTTTCAGTCAATGATTATCCATTTGAATATAGAGTCTTAGTACAGTCAATGATTGTGGTTTGTGAGATTCCTACATAATCTAGTTCAAAGAGTACTTGTGAATTGTAGTGCTTCTTTCACAAGGACATGAGTCGTTGTATCCTAAGATGCAAGCGCTAGTAACCATAAGCACCTGTGTGGGGTGTAATTCGTCTTAAGGTCAGAGTGTCCAACACTTGCCTCGACTCAATTATTCATATTCTTCTAATCCATATTTTGTTATTTTTCATTGTGTATGTTTGTAAGCATGCATTAATTTTTTAAGCTTGAATTGAATGATTATTTCTGAATTTCTATGTGATTAAAAAATAGCAGTTATACCCATTTTTTCAACAATTAGCCTAACCCTATGTACATTAAGCTATGTTACTATTCTCCTCCAATATAATAAAATCACTTTGTTTCAACTATGGTCCTATTGTCCTAAACTCCTTCATCACATAAACCAACAATAGTATCATAGCAACACCACTCATAATCACCTTACAATCCAACAAGTGATATCAGAGCATCAAAAACACTCATCACACACCTCCTAAATTACAACAAGAAGAATAAGAAAGATTCATTATGTCAGTGTGTTGAAAAAAATTTATAGTGGAGGGATAAAAGGATTCAAAAATATACATACAAAAGAAATCTTATCAAAGATTCACATAAATAAAGTCTCACACCACGTACGTCAGTGTTAGAAAAGAATTTTGGTGGAAGGATAAAAGAAAAAAATCAAACAATTATGGGAGTGTTAGTGTGGAAGCGTCAAGACCCCTATAAAGTCAAAGAAAAATATGAAAAATACAAATAAACTAACAACACATAGAGATATATACAATATTTAAGCTCTCACAGACCCAAATTCCATATACACCCAGAATTACTCTCTTACCAAATGAGCTAGATTCTTGCTCACACACGTATAACAAAAGAGATCTGATACAAATATGTGAAGTAACTCATGAACAGAAAAACGAGCTATAACAGAAGAAGAAAAACTTACAAATCTTTTTGCTGCTCATAAAGTTGCTAGCACATCCAATACAAAAGAACAACAAATCAGAAGAAAGGAACCAGATGCTATCTTTTGTCCAAGAGGCATATAATAAGGAAAAGTGGTATGTTAAGGAAGATACACATGTTCTGCTTAAATAAGCTTTCGTGGAAGGGCCTGGTTTGGTAGGCTCCCTGTCAACTAGTTGAGGTTCGGGA